GCTCTATAGGAGTTACGTTATTCAAAGTTTATTTAAAATAATTACTCTAATCAACCATAGATTGTCACAGTGTAAGGAACCAGAAAATTGTGTTGCGTAATTCCCTTGCAGTTGTCTAAGAAGCCTCCCGTCTGCTTTGCTAACACAGCTCAGATATTTGATGTGAAATCCTTGCTTTCATGCAAAGGGGCTGCCGCACTTTCAAGTTTACCAAGCGCGCTAGCTAATATGTGTTTTATCTGCTGCACTTAACAATGGAATGAAAGAAAAGTGTTAGCAGAGGTCAAGCATTGTTTGAATGTGTTGCAAATGGTTTCCCAGGGAAACAGCAAATCAGTACTCATAGCCTGCTGCAGCATCTCCAGAACAACATCCAGCCACCAGCCATAGCTCGGTGTTTACTATAGTACTCGGGACCAAACGCGATGCAGACTCCAGACGAAGTGAGCGTGTGAGGAGGAGAGCAATTTCAAAGGATGAAGAAACATTCGGCAAGAGTGGCACCATTACCGTCTTACAATGTTTCTGAATTAAATTCGCCCGTGCCAGACGGTAAATGCTTTTTTTCCTGTATATCTAACCCTAGGCAAGAATTTACTTTGCATGCTCCTCCTGCTCTGTTCCATGCAAAGTAACATGAACGTGTGTGTGTGAGCGTGTGTATTTTTAAGGTAGCTAATGCTTGGATAGCATTTTTAGCTTTTTAATATCATCTAGGGTTAGTACAGTTAAATTTCTATTGCTTGTGTACAACTGCTGCGTGAATGATTTCTGATGAAGAAACTAACGTTGAAATGCGAACAACTGATAAAGTTGCTGTACTTCAGTTCTGGCTTTTAAAATGATGTGAAATTATGTGTAATGTTATCCAATTTTCTGTAATATTTTAATACTGTGCTCTAGATCTATCTTTTTTGCTTTAGAGATAGAGGCACCAACTTTTTGTGCTTGCCGTCCCTCAGCTTGAGATAGCAGTTGTTCCCTTAAACTGCTTTTCCCCCCCTTATTTTCAGAACTGTCAGCTCTATAAAGCGATTCCTCCATACAAAAACCACAAGATAGAAATTGTGAAATCTGTTGTGTGCTCTCGATCGGACGCGGCAGCCTCATTCCTTGCAGAGCACATACCAACTTCGCATTACACTTCTGTGTCAGCTGGAAATGATGTGGTCCAGCATGAGGTATGACTGCGCTGGGAGCTCTGATGCAGGTATAAAGCTCGGCATCCTGAAAATAGACAGCAGGTCTATGTGCGGCGTAAATCAAAGGTCGACAGGCAAACTTCCATAAAATATTCCTAACGTTCAGGTTCAAGTTTTTGTTTTAAAAGTCTGGAGAAATCCCAGGCTTTAACTGCACTGTTGCAAGTTTGTTATATTCAGTGTCAGATGTTTTAAAGAGCTGAGTGGTACTTTCCGAAGTTGCTTGTTCTGCCAGGAACGAGCTCTTTTCCCACCAGGTGTGGTACGTTGTTAAGAACACTCGAGCCGTAAAATTGCAAGGTGTGTGCTGTCTCTGGTTTGAGCTGTGTTACGCCGACCAGCAATAAAAATGTGATTCCTTTTTGTGAGTTAAATTCAGCACTACATCCAGGACAAAAACAAAGCAAGAGTCACGGTCCGGTGCTTGTCAGCAGAGCGTGACTTCCAGTTCTTCAGTCTGCCTGGGTTGGACTGGCTTAAATTACGAACGGGGCTGGGTTTTGATAGAGCAGGCAATAGTTTGTGTCATTTTTCTTGGGAATGTATGTGTGATCCTGAGAATTCTGCAGGCGCGGTTGAAGGAGCTGATTGACCTGGCTGCCTGTGTGGGTCCATTGCTGTTGCACAGCTCCAGATTTTAGGATGTGTGAAACTGCAATTCGTACGCTCACCTACTTTTAAAGGAGCAGTGTTATGGCCGGGTGGGCTGGCTGGCTGCGCTGGTTAATGGGGCGATTTGCTGCTCCTTATTCCCCCAGAGCTCCTAGCACAGTCCAGGCTCATGTCACGCCAAGCGGTGAACGCAGCAGATTAAAGACTGTCCCTACCCCGTAGGGTCTAAGACAACTCGCAAGCTGTGGTTGCCTACAATTTAACCAGTCTGGCTGCTGTCAGGTGCCTCTGTTCAGTCCAGTCTTAACCTTCTCCCCATGCTGGGCTGCAACAGCAGTGTCAAATACTGCATTGCCTGTTTCCTCGGGGAGGGAAAATCCAGTCGTTGTAGGAAGAAAGGGCAGCAGACTGGAAGTGACTACATGACAGCACCTGTCAGATCCGACGGGCTGAAAATGGAAAGGTTCTTGCCAGGGATGAAGCTGGCCAAGCTGAACTAATACTGGACCCATACATTAAATGTGAGTGGGTGCAGCCAGTTTTACACATCAGCCAAGATTTTAGCAGGGATTCCCAAAGAATCCTAATGGGGTAGGGCAGCCAGCTTCCCAAGAGCACTGTGCCTGTCCCCCCTTTCCTTCCCAGGCATGGGGAGGGCACGTGGAAGAGATGCCACGCAAACTGGGCCCTGGGCCTGCGTGCTGGGAGGAGAATGGGAGCAATGACTTTATGTTGGCAGTTTTAAGGCAGTTCTGTGCGGTTTGTGGCTTCCCTAGATAGATATCTTCTGGTAGAACCACAGAAACTGCTGGCTCTTGGATGGTGGAGTGAAATCCAGGCAAGAAGACTCCTTCAGCAGTGAAGAGGCACCCGGGTGCTTGCAGGTCACTGGTCAAATACGCTGCTCACGTGGAAAGAAATGGAGCAGAGATGGCTGCCGACAAGGGCTGGTGTGTGGGCTGAGTGGTTCTGGAAGAGGTGAGGTGTGCATCACGCTCAGACCCACAACCACCAAATACTTTTGAGAACGTGTCTGTATCTTAGCCTGGCCAGCCCTCACTCCCCAGCCCAGCATCAGCTACGACAAGAGGACTGTATGTACGTGAGTGCCTGAGCCAGGGGGTTGTATGGACACTGCTTGGAGAAGATTTATCCCAAATGTGCCATCATGGAAAGGCAGGGGTGAGAGGTGAGTTGGAAGTATCTCCTGGGATTACAAAATGCAGCAGTACAGTGATACTTACTTTTGCCCCAGCTGCTTACCTGTAAAATGTTCTTTTAACCCATCTTTCCTCAAATGTGCTTAATCGGGCTCTAAGTCAGACAAGGAAATTGAAGCATGTGCTTAATGCACGTCCCACAGTGCCGCCGTGGACTGAGCCTGAGGCAGTCAGATTTGGGCTCATCCAGAGGCACCTAAATGTAAGCCTCGGTAAGTACTAAGAAAGTTGTCTGAGCTTCCTCAAGTCAGCAGGAGAGCTGGACACCTCTGAGAGGTGATTCATCTCCTAAGATTGGTATCTAAGGGCGCTGGAATGAATCACTCTCTGGAGGCACCCATCAAACAGGAGAGGCAATAGTTTGTGTAGGAGATAAATACAGCAATTTGATACTGAGTTGTGTGTCAGCGTGCTGACTGCTTTTACGCTCGGATCTTAGGAGACCCATGAACCAGCCTGGATTTATTGCAGTGTTTCTTGAAAGTAGAAGCTATATCGTAATTATTTAATAATGAGATGCATATGAGTGATTTCTGGAGTGTCCTGGGTCTAAACTCCTTTCACAACAACTTCATGTCAAAGTAGCCTCATGGCTTTCATTGAAGCCACTCTTGATTTACTGCAGAGAAAGTAAAAATGAGAGTTTAACTCAGAATCTGTTTCTTTTTGGAAATGTCACTAAATTTTAGCAATGACAAGGTTAATTTTCAAAGGATTGTTTTATAGGGATGCATAACCTTTTCTTTTGGAGTAAAGTGTAGAAATTGTGAAACTGTTGGATGCGCATCCGGTATAATTTATTACAAAGTTTGTAGCAGAGATTTTCTTTAATGGGATGGTGTGCAGCTTTGAATGAAATGATTTGTGTTTATTTGTTGTTCAGTCAGCGCTGGAGTGGTGAAAAGCTGGTCTGATCCCAGGCCAATGAATCTTGCAGTTGGCTTCAGTTGGTGTCGGGTCACGCATATCTGGGGAAAATAAAGTCACGTAGGTCTGTTGCAGCAGAGAATGTCCCTTTAAATGTGTGTTCGAGGGACACATTCAGAAGTTGTTATTGAGGTGGTGTCGTAGGGGCTGTTTATGTAAGCAAAAGCCTAAAATAAAGTCCTTGCTCCAGAGCTGCAATAAGGGGACAAAGGCTTCTAAGTCCTTGGGGGTTGTTCTGTCAGATAGGTGTGTGTCGGTTTCACCTGAATAAAAACATAGAATCCTAGAATTGTTTAGGTCAGAAAAGACCTTTAAGATCATCAAGTCCAACCATTAACCTAACCCTGCCATCCCACCACTAAACCATGTCCCTAAGCACCACACCTACCCGTCTTTTAAATACCTCCAGGGATGGGGACAACATAGAATCATAGAATGTTTTGGGTTGGAAGGGACCCCTAGAGGTCATCTAGTCCAACCCCCCTGCAGGAGCAGGGACACCGCTAACCAGATCAGGTTGCTCAGAGCCCCGTCCAACCTGGCCTTGAATGTTTCTAGGGATTGGGCCTCCACCCCCTCTCGGGGCAACCTGTTCCAGTGTTTCACCACCCTCATTGTAAAGAATTTCTTCCTTATATCTAGGCTAAACCTACCCTGGTTTAGTTTAAAACCGTTACCCCTTGTCCTGTTACAGCTGGCCCTACTAAAAAGATCTTCCCCATCTTTCCTATAGGCCCCCTTTAGGTATTGAAAGGCCATAATCAGGTCTCCCCGCAGCCTTCTCTTCTCCAGGCTGAACAAGCCCAACTCCCTCAGCCTGTCAACATCTGATGGTCCAGCTCCCTCCTCCTCACAGAGCAGTCTGGTGTGGAAGTACCCCCGTTGTCCTCCTTGGAGGCTGAGCCAAACCTCACTAAAATCAGTTAGTCATCCCAGGAAGTGCATCAGGGATTGGATCAGCCCCCATGAACTGGAGTTGTTTGCTGGCATGGGCTTAGCTTGGCTGGACACCGGGGTGCAATGTACTTCTGGGTGCCTCTCTGCTGCCCTCTTCTTCCTCTGAGGCACCAGGGCACCTTGGCTTGGCTTTCCCCAGCAACACTTAGACAGCAAGTTGCCCTCTGAGACATTCGTGGTGCGAGGGTTCTTACAAACTTTCACACGACTTCTTTGTGAGTGGCATAGGTAGTGGAGGGAGTGTATTTGGGTGCCTGGCCCTGCCCTTCCCAGGCTTCTTTCTGAATACGGTGTCCAGATGGGTAAGGAAGGAGCAATAAGCAGAGGCTCTTTGCATGGGGACAGTTCTGTGCTGAAGGGGGAAATATTCATACCCTTACTGGAGGTCAGTGTTTCCTAACTCCAGAGTTGTCACAGCAAAGTATCAGATTTTGACACAACGTTTGTTTTTTAAGCCAAATGGAGTTGGCAGCAATGTTTTCCGACAGCAGAATTCAGTCCAAAATGTTCCACTCCAAATGGATGTTTTAAATCTTTTTTTTTTTGTAGCTCATTGTAGATTGTTTTGTTTAGAAGTTGTAAAAGTTTTGATTTCAACACATAAAAATCATTCTTCGTTTGCAGCACTTTCTTC